TGACATGACCTCACTTTCATTTATCGAAACTATGGACAATACCAATCCAATATTAGTTACAATATACAATATACTGCTACAATATACGAAATAATACGAATTAATGTGATATTACAGATTTGGCCTGGGGGCTTCTGAGTGGAGTGTTCATCTTACCACTGCAATTAGACAAGACTTCATGAGCCGTGCGGTACTTGACCTTCAGTGCTTCATACTTTCTCTCTGTTTCTAACAGAAGGAGAAATAGTTCAGTGTATTTGGTCTGTATCGTTTTCTTACCTTATCTAGCTTTAATCTACATGAAAGTCATTCTGGGAAAACTGGTATAAATTCACCTTTGAATGATTTAAACTCTTCAGCTAAAGCAGGAGGCAAACATCTGACATCTTAACTTGGTCAGTCTTTTTTAGGCTACAAATGAATCAAGAAGTTTTAATGCATTCTGATAGTTCACCTGAACCTCAGTCAAACGTGACTGTAACTCTTTAGTCAGAGGACAAGAAAAAGAATGAACGCATGTCATTAATCAAGCATGATAACAGCTAAAAATTAGTAAAGAGCAAAACTATTTTATCTTCTTTGAATGTTACTCTGATACACTAAGAGCTGGATTAAGCCTAATATTGGACTAAACTGCAGTGCCAACAGTGAAAATAGTTAGTACTAGAAGATACGTATCACAAACCACTCACCATCAGTCTTTCGTTCCTGCACTGACAGTCTCTCTACAGCGCTGCTGTACTGCTCACTTAATGCTTCATATGAGACGCCTTTATTATAATCTGTCAATCAAAAAGAAGTAAATAGGAATAAATATGAGTTTTGTAATGCACTGCATCAGCAAGCCACTGACCAGAGAACAACAGGAACCACTGTGTGACCCAACCGCAACGAACATTGTGAACATCCTTTCTGTGTTTTTGAGGACGGCCCATTGAGGAAGGTAAATGACTGAAGTGCTACATTAGAGGGTGATGCTGATACTCACACAGGATCCTCAGAACACAGAGCGCCACCAAAGCACAGAGCAGAAGGAGGCAGAGAGCAGCCAGGAGGACCTTCAGAGAGTCTTTAGTGGACAGAGGGTTCCTCTGCCTGACTGACTGGACAGCATGTCCAGAAACATCTGAGAGAAATCACATAGTTAAGGTGGGAAATAATGAGCTGCTCTAATTACAGTACTTTAACAGGACTTTGAGTAGAATTGAACTGTAAAACTTCTAATTTTAAAGATAATTTCTAAAAAAAAAATTGTCATTACACAGAAAATCAAAGTGTGCATTTCATGAACAAGTCATTTGACCAGGGGGTGTTCAAACTTTTGGGCACAACTCTAAATGTAAATGATTACTACAGTAACTTCCCTCTTTAGTAGGAATTTTCAATATTCTTTCCACCCCTGTTTAGCTCAGACAATTCAACACATACACTATGTTATTGGTAAATAAAAATCCCTTGTAATCGTTATTATGATACATTTTGCAATCATAGTTGAAACTGGCAATCGACGACTAATAAACTCAAAACATCATGAATGATATAAAAATGATATTTCTGAACTAAATCACACGACTAACACACAACCAACTGAAGGTGCTCCTACCTGTTGAAACACGACATCTTTCATTTCCAGAAGTTTGGGAGAGTTCATAATCAACATTTCCATAGAAGTTCTCCATTATATCAGCTTCACTAGACACCACTGAGCCAGACAGGCTCACACCAAGAAATGTGCAGAACATATATTTGTACTGAAACAGGAAGTGTGTTACCGAAGACCCAGAAGTGTTAATCATGTACAAGTTGACAAAAAACAAAAATAGATTGCAAAAAAAGTGTGTGACCCATGTTGAGTCCTGTGAAGAAAGAAATGTTATCTACACCCCATACACTAAAGAAAGACAAGGGAACTGCAAAAAGCAGTGTTATCGGTGTCAAAGCCAGTGAAAAAACTAAAGAAACTCCCCCGCCCGGCCTGCTCCTCAAGCTGAACCTCCAGTGCTGGCTCTCAGAGAGCCCCACTCAGCCTGAGTCATCTCTGAACCAACACTTCCTCCTCTACTGATCTAGTCTTCAAGGTGAGTCTCTGGGGTTCTGTTTCTGGCTTTTGCACCTCCCTCTTCCCGCACCACTGCCTGCAGTTCCATTCTCACCTGCCCCCACTGCTAAACCAGACCCTGTCCCCACTTTGTGCTCTGTTGGACTGCCCACCACCAGCACAGAAAGTAGGCACCAGATCCCACAGTGCCATCCAGTGTTCCAAAGATGCTTCTTGAGCTGCTCCTCTAGTGCCTGCTGCTCATGCTGAACCTCCAGTGCTGGCTCTCAGAGGGCCCTACTACACCAGCTTCCCAGTGCCTTGATAGTCCAGCTTCTGAGTCAGCATCCCCAGCCTCTATCACTGAGACAGCACTCCCTCCTCTACTGATCTAGTCTTCAAGGTGAGTCTCTGGGGTTCTGTTCCTGGCTTTTGCTCCTCAAGCTGAACCTTCAGTTCTGGCTCTCAGAGAGCCCTGCTCAGCCGGCTTCCCAGTACCTTGTTTGGCCGGCTTCTGAGTCAGCGTCGCCGGCCTCCATTGCTGAACCAGCACTGTCGTCCATCACTCTGAGAAAGACCAGGGAGAACAGCAATGATGTGTGACAAAACGTTGTTGAGTTTGACTAACCAGGAAATGGCTATAAGAAATTTGCTAAACAGTGCTCACTCCTCAGCACACTCACACACACCCTGAGGTGGTTTGCAGCCCCGCCCTCTCTTTGGTAACAGGGTTGCACATAAAATAGTACAAAGTTTTATTGATTTTTTTTTTAAATATATGCCCATTCTGAATTCGATGCCAGCAACATGCTAAAAATTAGTTAGGACGGGGGCAATTTTACCACTGTGATTCATCACCTCTTCTTTTAAGTGTTAACTGAGGAGACACTGCTGTAGTTTTGAAAGTGAAATGTTTTCTCATTCTTGTTTGACATAGGATTTCAGCTGCTCATCAGTTCAGTTCAGTCTCCTGTATCGTGTTTTTCATATCTTAATGCGGCAAATGTTTTTAATAGATGACAGATCTGTTGAGCACCCGGACTGTTTTACTACGGAGCAATGCTGTTGTAATAGATGTAATGCAGAATTTGGTTTGATATTGTTTTGCTGAAATAAATAAGGTCTTTCCTGAAACTAATGCACCCCCAAACATCACAGATGCTGCCTTATGAATTGTGCACTGTAAACAAGCCAGATGGTCCCTTTCTTTTTTAACCTGGAGGACACAGTGTCCATGATTTCCAAAAAGAAGTTTAAATTTTGATTCATTGGACCACACAACACTTTTCCACTTCACCTATTAAATGAGCTCAGGCCCAGAGAAGGTGGCAGCATTCCTGGATCCTGTGTATGTACAGTTTCTTCTTTGCGTTTTAAAGTTTTAACTTGTATTTGTGGATGCAGTGACGAACTGTGTTCACAGACAGTGGTTTTCAGAAGTGTTTCTGAGCCCATGTAGTGATTTCCACTACAGAATCATGTCTGTTTTTAATGCAGTGTGGCCTCAGGGCCTGAGAAATTACAGCCAGTCAATACTGGTTTTTGGCCTTGTCCCTTACATACAGAGATTCTCTGAATCTTTTATTGTTATTATGTACTGTAGATGATGAAAAGCAAAAGTTCTTTGCAATTTTATGTTGAGAAACTTTATTCTTGAATTGTTGCACTATTCACCCACACAGTCTTTCACAGAGTGGTGAACCCCTCCTCATCTTTACTTCTGAAAGACTCAGCCTCTCTCAGATGCTTTTTTAGACCCAATCATGTTACTGACCTGTTGCCAATTAACATAATTAGTTGTGAAATGTTACACCAGGTATTTGTTTTAGCATCAGACAACTTCACCAGTCTTTTTTGCTCTGTCCCAACTTTTTTTAACATGTTGATGGCATCAAATTTAAAACAGGCATATATATTTTTCAGAAAGCAATTCCATTTCTCAGTTTCAACATTTGATATATCGTCTTTATAATATTTTGTCTTTCTACCCCTCAATTAAATACAGAGTTTAAATCATTTGCACATCATTATTTTCTGTTTTTGATAATATTTTGCACAGCATCCTAAATTTTTTGGAAATGGGGTTTTATGTGTTCTCTCATCATTTGGTTCCCAAATGAACCTTTCAATGGTAGTTTTTAGCCATTTAGAACCATTTTGTTTTGTAAAGGTAAATGTAAAGCTTGTGTGAAGAATTCTTAAACAGCTGTTGACCCTTTACATTACATGAACTTGAACTTTAGTAAACCAAGATTGCTCAAAGAAACCTTTGTGACATCTTTTTTTCAAATAGCAGAATTTTTAATATGATCATGCAGTGTAATATTTTACTTAAACAACAGGCATGAAACACTCCTGGAAACATTTACATTCACTTTTGATTGGTATAAAATGCACATTTAGCAATCAAACATCATTTATTAAGAAAATAATAGGACAGTTACATTCTGGACATTCAAACATTCATTACATTGTGTCTGGTAGAGCAACTACTTCTGAAATGCAGCAGGATAAAAGCTGCTCTACAATAATATACTGCCCTCTAGTGGCCAGACTCATTTAGTAATCTCTTAATGCCTCTTCTGAGTCTGTAAGCAGTGGCCTAACTAATGGGGATGGGGGTCAGTCACACTGGGACCATGTCATCCTGTATTGGGCCTCATTCAAAAAGCACTCAGAGCTGAAACACTCCCCAGAACTTAAATATGAGTGGGTGGAGCTTGGCTAATTAGGCAGATATACGTAAAGGTGTTGTTCCATGTATGGACAGTGTGAAATGGGGAGGCAATGGTTTGTTTTGAAACTTGGCCTTGTTTTGACAATGTTTACACATCACTTCAAACTCCTTTATTCTAAAAAAGCAAGAGAAATTTGGTTTTCCATGATATGGCCCTTTAACTGAAAGTAATGGTGGTCCCTAAGATCCTATTTAGCAGACTAAACACAATAAAACAGTGTTGGGGAAAAGCAGCATTGCTGGAAAATCACAGTTTTGGCAAAACATGTAATATATAAATGTAAATAATTTTAAAAAAGTCACTTTGGTACATTTTTATACAATCAAGTTCTGTAGTTTTACTTTTGACAAATGTATTTTTTCTTTTTAAGGCAAGAAGCATCAAACCAAATATATGTGCCACTCGACTCATTGCCCAGAGCAGCACAGTTCTCTCCTGATTCGTCCTCCTCTCTCCAGTTATCAGGCTCGTGTGCTTCATCCTTCCTCTTATGCCAGAATCTGCATGAATAATAAAGAATAAATTTTTGCTACAGTTTGTAGAAAAATCTACTTCTTATTGTTTAAAAAAAATCTCTGACCACAATCATCATTGCATTGCTGGGCATATAAAAGTCCTCTAAAGCCAAACCAAAAGGAACATATGTGAGAGTGAACATGGCTCTTACGTCACTCCCGTCTCAGTCAGGGTCTGGTTGTTCACCCACACCCACTTTCCCTCAGTCTCCAAGTCATTCAGCCCGATCCAGTGAGTTTCATGAGCGCGTGAAGATAGAAAATCCTAATGTAGATTATTTGATATTATTTGAGTGCATTGATAAGTAGGCTAAAGGGCTCATATCAATAAACCCAAAGAGTCTGAGAAAATGCACTATTCATTCCACAGTCACAGTCACAAAAGTCAATTTTTTTATATATAATATTTTATATATTTAATTTTATATATATGTATAATATATATAACAGCAGCACAGTAATAAAGACGAATAAAAACAGCCTGTCTAACTCTGTGATAAAGAGAGGTTAGTGCTACTGTACAAATGAATTATAACTGTATATTATGAGTGGACCTGTAGGATATGGGCCCTTTAAACATAATACTAGTAATGTTGACAGTAATATCACAATCTGTACTAAAGTATTCATACTCGACGTGGCCACTGTACTCATGTTCCACAGGACGAATACACATGGGTAGATGGTGATAAAGTCATGTAGCAGCTTCATTCAAACAGTGAAGAAAAAGGCAGGCAGGTCCAAAAATGTAATCTTAAGCTCCTGAATGGTAAGCTGGACTCACCTGCTCAGCTTGGCTGGTTATTATAACCAGATGGCCTCCTTTCTCAGCACAGTAATCTCTGCTATTCATCCAGTTCAGTTCATTAGTAGAGAAGTAGTAGCACTTCGCACCAAAAGACCTCCACCCTTCTGCACACAGAGCACACTTCTGACACTCTTCTGTTGAAGAGGCAAAAAAGAGCTGCTATGAAATCATTGCATTGACTTTTATTAAGAAGGGATGTCACTAGTGGGGTTCTGTAAGCTTCTTCCCTGTCCTGAATAAAATGATGAAACTGAAAGTTCAGCTACTAAAAACCGAGAGAACCGAGGAGGTAAGAACCCAGTTCTGTTTAAACTGAGAAGCTGACAGCTTATTTTCAACTAACAGGCTAAAAATCATCTCCACTTATGCTACAGGCTTTGAATTAAAGTACTTGATTCAGTGTAAAACTGCAATATAGAAGACTAATGAATATGCCACATGAATGTCTTACATGTCAAATGTCTGTGTTTTAGTCAGTTCTTGCCTTAAGCAGCATTAAACTAGTGATGGGGAGTCTGGGACTCGTTCTCGAGTCTGAGTGACTCTAAGAATCGAAATGCATGGAGTGGACTGCTTTGGATCCCTTTGCCAAGGGGATGAGTCTGATGACAATTTTGAATTTGACCCATTGAAGATGAAAATATGGCAAAACAAAAATAACACGATAAACTAAAAATGACTTATTTGTAGTTAGTTAGCTCAGCAAAGAAATGTCATAGTGAACATTTAGCAAATCGCTTTATTTAATAACCATTGCTGAATTTATAGAATGAATGCAGTTTCCAGTTTTAATCACCAGTGTCACAGATCACAGAGCGACAGTGGCTGCATGTTTTATTTCATTGACTAAAATAGTATTACTTTCATCTACTAAAACAACTTCCCTAACATTAATGATTTAAAAGAAATCATTTTATTCCAGCTAGGTTGTTCAGTGTTTAAGAGCTGGAAGATAAAATTTCAAGGATTCTTAGAAAACTAGTATAAACTCACCTTTGAATGCCTCAAGACGTTTTACTGCGTTCTCATAGTTCACTTGAACCTGATCCCAGTGAGATTTTAACTCTAGCAACAGTGGAGGAAAAAGAGTTAAAACATACCATTAGCAAGGTGTGATAACGAAAAAGCAAACTACTACTATTTCTTGGCCCAATAATTGTTCATCTTGACTATTATTAATAATGTATTAAATTTTTTATTGAAAATTGCATTTTCTGATGTTTTATGTCCACATTTTAGCCACTCAAGTTTGCAGTGTTTTTAAAGCGAGGGCTTTACTCTGTTTTGCACTGTGCCTAACACACTGACCCGAGATAACATCACTGTAATGCACAGCCTCTTGTGGCTTATTGCTTTATTTTACGTCACAGAAAAGTCAGCGGAGTGTTCATTTCAGGTTTGAAGTTCTTGTTTTATTGCCTCTGACTGCAAATGAATAAGTCAGGGGGACCTGGAGTTCAACCAAGCTGTTTGTTTTGTAAATTTGATGCTGGTTACTGCGAGCACTGTTACAACACTGACATGCCAAAGGTGCTGAAGATATCATTTTAACCCCTTAAATGGCCAGAGCCATAAAGCTTTATTACACACTTCTATAACCTAAGAATAGCTCAGCCAGTTTGCATTGAGGCCCCTGTAGTTAATAAGTAATTAGCCTTAGTATGTAATAAGCCTGAGACTTTAAGGGATCAAAAGCCATCTAAAAGCTGTATTGGTTACAATCACAGATTCTATCAAAGTAATAATCAGCAAGCTACATCTGAGCCTCGGCCTGGACTCAAATATATTTTTGATCATAGAAGACTGATGACTAAAAAATAAACTATTTACAATCCCATTTCCAAAAAAGTTGGGACACTGTTCAAAATGTAAATAAAAACAAAATGTAATGATGTGCAAATCATTCAAACCCTATATTTAATTGAAAATAGTACAAAGAGAATATATCAAAAGTTGCAACTCAAAAATTTTATTGTTTTTGAAAAATATATGCCCATTTTGAATTTTATGCCAACAACACGTTCCAAAAAAGTTGGAACAGGGCAACAAAATGCTGTTAAAGTTGTGTAATGGTAAAAAAAAACACCTGGTCATTGACTGGCAACAGGTCAGTAACATGATTGGGTATAAAAAAAAAACATCTCAGAGAGTCTTTCAGAAGTAAAGATGAGGAGGGGTTCACTCTCAGACGGCACTGCATTAAAAAACAGACATGATTCTGTAGTGGAAATCACTGCATGAGCTCAGAAAAACTTCTGAAAACCACTGTCTGTGAAAACAGTTCATCACTGCATCCAAAAATGCAAGTTAAAATTCTAAAATGCCAAGAAGAAACTGTACATGAAGAGGATCCAGAAATGCTGCCACCTTCTCTGGGCCCAAGCTTACTTAAAATGGACTGAGGCAAAGTGGAAAAGTGTCCTGTGGTCTGACGAATCAACATTTGAAATTCTTTTTGGAAATCATGGACACTGTGTCCTCCGGGCTAAAGACCACTCAGCTTCTTATCAGTGCACAGTTCAAAAGCCAGTATTCATGATGGTATAGGGGGGCATTAGTGCACATGACATGGGTGACGTGCACATCTGTGAAGGTACCATTATTGCTGAACGATATATACATGTTTTGGCAACATATGCTGCCATCCAGACGACCTCTTTTTCAGAGAAGGCCTTAATTATTTCAACAAGACAATGTCAAACCACATTCTGCATGTATTATAACAGCATTGCTCTGTAGTAAAAGAGTCTGGGTGCTAAACTGACCTGCCTGCAGTCCAGACCTGTCACCACTGAAAACATTTGGCACATTATGAAATGAAAATTATGGCAAAGGAGACCCCAAACTGTTGAGCAGCTGAAATCCTGTATCAAACAAGAATGGAAAACATTTCACTTTCAAAACTACAGCAGTGTCTCCTCAGTTCCCCAATGTTTACCGAGTGTTGTTAAATGAATAGGTGATGAATCACAGTGGTAAACAGGCCCAACTTTTTTGGAATGTGTTGTTGGCATCAAATTAAAAATGTGCATATATTTTTCAAAAAACAATCAGATTTCTCAGTTTCAACATTTGATATGTTGTCTTTGTAGTATTTTCCTTCAGAAATATGGCTTACATGATTTGTACATCATTGCATTCTATTTTTATTTACATTCTGCAAAGTGTCCCAACTTTTTTGGAAATGGGGTTGTAAATCCAGCTAGGCTGTTCACTGTTTTTAAACTGCAAGAAAAAAAATCTCACGGATTCTTAGAAAACTGGTATAAACTCACCTTTGCATGACGCAATATGTTTTGATGTGGTGTCATAGTTCACTAGAACCTGATCCAAATGTGAATTTAACTCTTCAGCCATAGTCGGGGGACAAGAGTTAAAATATACCATTAGTGAAGCATGATATCCTCCTACTGCTGGACTGACTGACCTCCTACTGCTGGACTGACTGACCTACTACTACTGGACTGACTGACCTACTACTGGCGGACTGACTGACCTACTACTACTGGACTGACTGACCTACTACTGCTGGACTGACTGACCTCCTACTGCCGGACTGACTGACCTCCTACTACTGGACTGATGTTAATAAGGTTACTAACACTAGTAATGAATGTATAAGTGTTTTTATTTTTCTACTATTGTAACAATGTATTTTTCCCTTGGGATCAATAAAGTTCTATCTATCTATCTATCTATCTATCTATCTATCTATCTATCTATCTATCTATCTATTTAACTAACAAAAAGCAAAAACGTCTAATGTAAAGTCTCTTCTAAGATTTGTATGACTGTCTGTTTAAACATGCATATAATCACTTAATTATTCCATTATATAACATATGATTGTATATAAGTAGGTACTTATATCTGAATTGCATTCAAAATTTTTATTTTTAAATGAAAACCTTGTAAATGTCATTTTAAACACTAAATTCAACCAGAATTCTGCCAATTTGTCAAAAATTCTGCACAAGAGTAAAACATTTCTACATGCAGAGTGTTGGAAGTAAAAATAGTCCAAAAAGAAAACTTATTATTTTAGATTTTTCACTATTTTACCATCATTAACATTCTATATATAAACATGTGTAGGTTCATTGGTGGTTTTGGATAGTAAATAAAAGGTCTATATTTGAGTCGTAGTCATGGCGATGCCTGGTTCCTATCACCACCACTGTAAAGAAATCTGAGTCTGTCAGTTTCTCTATTAGCTATTTCCTTGTTTTAGTGTTTCAGTGTCATGTGATGTGTTTCTCTGTAAACACTCTTCAAACTTCTTACCGCTAGCGTTGCGTTCCTGCACCGACAGTCTTTCTACAGCACTGCTATACTGCTCACTTAATGCTTCATATGAAGCTTTTTTATTGTTATCTGTTGAAAGAGAACAGATTGAGGTGAGATTAGATTCATGAGAAAATCATAAGAAGCATGAGAGGTGCACTGCATTGGACAATAACCACACAATCGGCCTCATTCACCAACCGTTCTTAAGAAAATTTTTCTTCTTAAAATCCACTTATGCAGTTTTTACGAAGATTCCGGCCGATGTTTCCTTATTTGGGATTTGTTCTTATGTAAGAATAGAATCTACACTCAAGAGCACAAAGGTGAGAACAGTTCTGCACCTAAAGAACACGTCATGAATCTGACGTAGACTTTTTCTTAGAACCTTTTTCAAGAACACAGTGAGGAAGATATTGGTGAATGAGGCCCGTTGACCCAACTATGACCATCATCTCCATGGTTTTGAGGACGGTCCAGTGAGGGAAGTAAATGACTGTAGTGCTACATTAGAGGGTGAAGCTGATACTCACACAGGATCCCCAGAACAGAGTGAGCCACCAAAGCACAGAGCAGAAGGAGGCCGAGAGCAGCTGTTAGAGCCTCTTTACAGGAAGGATGGTTCCTCTCTCTGATTGGCCAGCCAGCACGGTCAGAAACGTCTGAGAGAAATCAGACAAACTCATAACAAACTCATAACACAGCACACTTAAGCTTTGTTTTATGTAGATGATTCTACTGAACTGGTTCAAAACCAGAGTGAAAACACATTTTACTGACTTGGACTATAGACTAAACTCCTTTTGCTTTGAGTGACCCTGTACCTTAATTATGTTTACGTTTATTTTAAAACAAATGATTGAACAGTCCATTTTATGACTAATAAAACAATTATAACACCCAAACTCTGAAATGTTTCAGTAGTGACTGTTTCGGTCGTGACAATTTTAGCTCATTTTCGAGCAGAACTCAAAAACACTCGCCAGTACGTATGATATATTGATCAGTTATGGTGCATATCTTAGTACAGATGATCAGTATCATCATCATGTATTTCAAACCACAGTAATCAAACATCTTAGATCAATTCAGCACATCAAATTGGAACATTAATAAATAAATCAAAAACAAATCACTCTTCTGACTAAATTTACCTGTTGAATCATGATGCGTTTTATCTTCAGACGCTGCAGAAAGCTCCATTTTCATAAGATTCAGTCCACACCACTGTGCCAAACTTCCTCTTGCCAGAGAATGTGGAGAACATTTATTTTTACCCAGATGGACAGGAAACTTGAATTTCACTTATTGTTTTTCACTGAAACAGACAGGAAGTGCTCTACTGAAGACTCACTCTATGATGTACAGCAGTTGACCAATGTTGTGTCCTGTCTTCTTGCACCAATCTGTTCTAACACACCTGATTCAGCTCCAGGTAAACTTGCCCTTCCCTAATGATGTGACTCAGAAGGAAGAACACTCCATTGTCACTGTTTGAACAAAAGCTCGGATTTCCAAAAAGGTATCTTCACAGGAGAAGGGGAACGCTCCTAACTTTCAGTGTATTGTTAATGTAACAATATTTTATTCTAATCCATTTCCATTGGTCTGTTAGTCATAAGGTTATTTTCATAAAAAAAAGACAAAAATAGAAGTTTTTACTATAAAGACAACATGCAGGTGGACTAAATCAGGGGAGCTGTTAGACACTAAACACTACGTATTTCAACAAAATGGTTTTCTCATATTTTGTTTTGGGCAAAACCAATATAATGTATATTGTGCACCCCATATTGCTTTTTTTAGCTTTGTTTCCGATTATTCTTATTCAAGTTCTGCTTTTATTATGTTATTCCAAGTGAAGTGAAACTATTCTGCGCACATACACACAAACACACACACACATAAGTATATAAGTAAAACAAATCTGTGCTGACTACAGATTTCTTGCAATCCATTAAAATTCTGATCCAGTTTCTCTATGGACTGGAGATCAGTGGAATCTGGCACATTCACATTCTGTCACAGCAATTTGAAATAAATTAACACTCCCTTCACTGCAAAAAGGGGAGTTTGGGTAGAACATGAGCGATGAGCATTTGGAAAACAGCAGTCACCTGGAAATTAGAAGGAAAAACATACAAAACTAAAATATGGTGTCCCACAAGGTTCTGTTGTAGGGCCACTACTATTTGCATTATGTATATACTAGTACATACCAAATGCCCCAATCTGTCCAAATGTGATACCTACCTAACGGTGTCTATTTTAATTTTTTTTTTTCCTGGGTTCTGACCACTTCAGAACACTTTTTTTTCCCAGATGTTTCAAATGAACTTTATTAGCCACTTCCATCCTTTCATTATTTTAGTCAGAGAGGTGAAAATCTTCTGTGTGAAAAAATAAAACTATGAAAAAATAAAATACAGTCAAAAAGAGAAAATAATCTAATGATTGTGATAGTAATGATGGACGATTACCCCCATATTTATTCTCTCCTTAGATAAACTTAAAACAATAAACATTTAAAGTGATCCTTAGTTTAAATGTTCTAGTTGCTGATTGAAACTCAACCACACAGGAAGGCAGTTTAGTTGTAATGTAGGCCTGTTCATTATTCAAATCACTGAATAAACATGATTGTTTCAATTTTCTGTTTTTGGTGGGAAATAAAAGAATGGAAAACAGAGCGTTTTACATGTTTTCTTCTTAAAACATATTATTTTATTAACTAAAGAATTGAAACCAGAAAACAGCTAATATTTTTTCTTTCATTTTGTATAACTTTGGGAGTTCAGGTGGAGGTGGGAAACAGAGTGAACTGAGTGGAAGCAGCTGAAGAGGAGCAGTGAGGACCACATCTTTACAGGCTCAGTGTAATACAGCTTTAAGTATGACCACAAAAAAATTTTATTGGTAAAATAGTAAAAATGAAGCAATCGTGTTTTTTTAGTTTTTGCCATTTCTAGTAAACTTAATAAATGAATGAATCAATAATATATTGACCACGTAGACATGCTTTTTATTCATTAAAAAAGAAAAGAAAAGAAAAAAAAATGATTTATGACACTGACAATATGCAGATGGACTAAAGGAGAGGAGCTGTGAGAAACTAAATAAAATGTATTACGGCAAAATGTTTTTCCTTTTTCAAAATGTGCTTTGTTTCAGATTCTTATTCACAGAAGTTCTGCTTCCATCATTTTATTCTAGAGGAGAAGTGAAACTATTCTTTGCACACACAAAACAACGCAAACACACACACAGGTATATTAGTAAAGCAAATATGTGAGATAAATACATATTTCTTGGAATCCACAAAAATTCTGATTCAGTTTCTTCATTGACTGAACACTCCCTTCACTGCAATAAGGGGATTTTTGGGGAGTTTTTGGCAATACAGCTGTCCTCAGGGAATTAGAAAGAGAGGGAAAAACATACAAAGCTTAAACTTGGTGTTTCACAAGGTTCTGTTGTAGGATCTCTACTATTGCGTGTATGTACTAGTACACATCAAATGCCATAATCTGTCCAAATGTGACAGAGTCAAGTAGCCTAATTAACAGTGTCTATATTCATTTTTTATTGTGTTCTGACCTCTTTAGAACATTGTACTTCACAACACTGTATCTTTTTCTCTATTGTTTCAAATGACCTTTATTAGCAGGAGTATCGCCGCTTCTATCATTTTTCAGTCTGAGAAGTGAAAACATGCGGTGCGATGAATGTTTCTTTGAAATGAACACTCCTCTCCCTTATAACGAAAATCAAAGACTCAGCAATACAGCTATTAAATGGAAATTGAAAAGTTAGAGGTAATAAAAGACATGATACAGTATTGGTGTGTTTGTAGATATGGCCTAAAAAGAAAAAAAATAGATGATTGTGGTGATAATGTGATGATGTTGATTATATCCCATATTTATTGTCTTTTGGAATGAAATAAAATTAGCATTTAAGTTAGTCCTTAGTTTAAATGTTCTACCTGCTGATTGAGACTTGACTACAAAGGAAGGCAGTTCAGTTGTAATGTAGGCCTGCTTTGTATTCATTAATGCCAGATTGTATTTTGCATATTTTTACAGTAACAAATGGTTTCTGGAGGAAGAATCTGAAGAGTGTCGCCTCTTAAATGGAAAAAAAACTGAATATAAACACTTCACTTTTGTCTTTAAATACCATTTTTGAGTGTTTTTGTGCAAAAATCTTCAAAAATCTTCTGGGTTTTCAGACTCTGGGGGGCGCTCATGAGTCCTAAATGAATGGGTTCCTATGGAGTTCTGTACAAAATCATATTTTGTAAAAGCTTAATCATTTTCATACAGAAAAACGCACGTTTTCTCAGCACAGAACAACACTGCTATTATATTTTTGAGCACTTATGTATTTCAATTATAATTATTTTCATGATATCATGATCATGAACCCTTTACTCAGCCAATGAGCTGATCAGCTTTCCAGCCGATCACTCAGTAGCAGTAATGCTAACCAATCAGCACTCAGTAGCAGTAATGCGAACCAAAAAGCTCTCAGTAGCAGAGTCTGTAAGTTTAAATCATTTCACATCCGACCACTCAGAATGACTGTGTGTCCACCTCAATCACTGCATTATGCAGTGATTTTGAAAAACATCTATGGGATTTCATTTCACAAGACTTGATCTGTCCTTGCCTTTTACACTGCAGAAAAAAACTGGGTAACACTTTCTATGAATGTCACCTTTGTAAGCATCTATAAACACATTCACAACATGTTATAATGCATTCATAAGACATTATAAACATGGCTATAAATATTTATAAAAATGCATTATACGTTATAGCCATGCTTATTATGCATTATGAATTGTTAACATAATACATTATAAGTACTGTTCATAACAAATTATAAGAGCTCATAAGTGGTATTTGTCCGCTCTAAGTAAAGTGAAGCGTACTGTACTAAAGCCCCCTCCAGTGTTCAGAGTGAGGCTTCAAGTTGAAGTATTTACTAAAGGATTTACTGAAACACTAAAACATTCACAGTAAAGCACATTACAGGCTTCAAATGTCAGAGTTTAAACTAGAGCTGCCATCAGTGTTTTACCCAATGTGGGAAAGGTAATGTACACCACCGTTAGCTTGGTATTTGTCTTTACTTTGCAGTCTCCAAGCTGGGTCTGACTTCTTTGGCACTGACAGTATAACATGTTATCAACACTACTTATAATGCATTATATTAACAATTCATAATGTATAATAAACATGGCTATAAAGTATAATCCAGTGTTTTTCATTTTTATAAATGTTTATAATCATGTTTATAATGCCATATGAAGGCATTATAACATGTTATAAATGTGTTTATAGATGCTTACAAACGTGACATTCATAGTGTTACCAAAAACTGCTTTAGTACCACTTTACAATAAGACTACCCTTATAAATGGTTCATGAATGGTTTAGAATTATTTTGTTAATCGTTCTTAATTAGATCATAAACAACACATACATTCAAAGGGCAACAGTGAGCTGTTATGTCTGATAAACTGAATGAATATCTGCTGAACCCGACTGGTTTAATGCTGACTGATGGAGAAGACAAAGAAAGATAAAGATAAAGAGTAGCCAACAAGATTTTACTACAAATGAATGTGAGCTCACTATTTGGCAAGCAACAAGTGTGTAGCCCTTTGTATTTGTGTGTTATAACCGCTTATAAAGAGTTTAAGGTTTGCATGACCTAATAGGACCCTAAGACCGCAAAACGGTGGGTCACTTCTAGCCTTCATAACTTCAGAACGGTTTAAAATACAAACATGATCCACATATCAGGACATTCAGCAGACCCGCCCCTAACTAGCAATCTGACGTCATCGAGCTGTGACGTCAGCATCGGTGAGTAATTCGGCTTGGAAAATCACCCAAAATCCTGATCCTATTGCTCTGCTGTTTGGCCTTCATATTCCAACAAAGGTTTAAAACAGCGACTTGATTCACAAATCAGATCACTCATCAGACTCTGCCTCACCATCCAGAGTGATTTCACCCATCTGTGACCATCAATCAGCCAGAAATCCAGCTCCAAAATCACCCAAACCCCACTGACTACTGTTATATTACATCTCTGCTTTTAGCCTTCATATTATAAACAAAGGGCTTTCAGTTTACATTGAGTATTAAAAATATCTGATATTGAATATGCAACTCAATTTGTAATTAAAA